TTTGGTACTGGCACAAGAACAGATCATAGAGCAGTGGAACAGAATACAGACTCCAGATATTACCCCAAACATATATGGTCAATTAATATATGATAAAGGAGCCATGGACATACAATGGGGAAATAACAGCCTCTTCAACAGTTGGTGTTGGCAAAACTGGACAGCTACATGTAAGAGAATGAAACTGGATCACTGTCTAACCCCATACACAAAAGTAAATTTGAAATGGATCAAAGACCTGAATGTAAATCATGAAGCCATAAAACTTTTAGAAAAAAACATAGGCAAAAATCTCTTGGACATAAACATGAGTGACCTCTTCCTGAACATATCTCCCCGGGCAAGGGAAACAAAAGCAAAAATGAACAAGTGGGACTATAACAAGCTGAAAAGCTTCTGTACAGCAAAGGACACCATCAATAGAACAAAAAGGCATCCTACAGTATGGGAGAATATATTCATAAATGACAGATCCGATAAAGGGTTGACATCCAAAATATATAAAGAGCTCATACCCTCAACAAACAAAAAGCAAATAAGCCAATTAAAAAATGGGCAGAGGAGCTGAACAGACAGTTCTCTAAAGAAGAAATTCAGATGGCCAACAGACACGTGAAAAGATGCTCCACATCGCTAGTCTTCAGAGAAATGCAAATTAAAACCACAATGAGATATCACCTCACACCAGTAAGGATTGCCACCATCCAAAAGACAAATAGCAATAAATGTTGGCGAGGTTGTGGAGAAAGGGGAACCTTTCTACACTGCTGGTGGGAACGTAAATTAGTTCAACCACTGTGGAAAGCAGTATGGAGGTTCCTCAAAAAGCTCAAAATAGAAATACCATTTGACCCAGAAATTCCACTCCTAAAAATTTACCCTAAGAATATAGCAGCCCAGTTTGAAAAAGACACATGCACCCTTAGGTTTATCGCAGCACTATTTACAATAGCCAAGAAATGGAAGCAACCTAAGTGTCCATCAGTAGATGAATGGACAAAGAAGATGTGGTACATATACACAATGGAATATTATTCAGCTATAAGAAGAAAACAAATCCTACCATTTGCAACAACATGGGTGGAGCTAGAGGGTATTATGCTCAGTGAAATAAGCCAGGCGGAGAAAGACAAGTACCAAAAGATTTCACTCATCTGTGGAGTATAAGAACAAAGAGAACACTGAAGGAACAAAACAGCAGCAGAATCACAGAACCCAAGAATGGACTAACAGTTACCAAAGGAAAGGGACTGGGAAGGAAGGGTGGGAAGGGACGGATAAGGGAGGGGGAAGACAGGGGGCATTACGATTAGCATGTATAATGTGGGGGGAGGCACGGGGAGGGCTGTGCAACACAGAAGACAAGTGTTGATTCTACAGCATCTTACTACGCTGATGGACAGTGACTGTAATGGGGGTTGTGGAGGGGACTTGGTGAAGAGGGGAACCTAGTAAACATAATGTTCCTCATGTAATTGTAGATTAATGATACCAAAAAAAAATTCATCAAAGATGTTTAACACAGCATCGTTTGTAATAACAAAGTAGTACAAACAATATAAATGTCTACAAATAGGAAGTGGTCAAATAATGACTACACTGATACAATGGAGTACCAAGCAATTCAAAAAATGAGGAAGATTTACAGGTATTAACATAAAAATATACAAAATATTGTTAACAGTAATATTCTAGTGAATTGGGTATTACATTTTAGTAATGGTTTTTTCTTTACATGAACATATATCACTTTTGTAAGCGGAATAAGCAAAGAAATTAAAAATGAAATGCATTGATTATGTGTGACGTTCCTTGGAATCCCTCAGGGGCTGCTGCAATTGCCCTCTACTCTGTCCACATAAACTCAGGCATGCTTTCAAATACTAAGTGTCTTCTCTACGCCAAGCAACTTACTAGGCCTGAGGATAATAGTCTGCAAGAGTCCCTACCTTTGCAGAACTTACAAGCAAAAATAGAAGCAATAATAATTAAGTGTGAGAGTACTATGGTGGTGAAAGTACGGAGTACAAGTGGGAACATAGAAGAGAACCTAACCTAGCCTTGAAAAGGAGCTCAAGAGGTATGCCAGCATTTCGAACAAGTAACAACTGTCCATAGACTAATGCATTGACACTATCAAGTCAAGCTAACTCCACCACGTTTGAAATCCCAACAGTGGATGACACATTTGGTGAGCACTGAAGAGAATAACCTCTCATTTCACAAAGTCCAGCAGCACTGTAATAACTGTGAAGGCTGATGATTGTGTAATAATCCCTTTGATAACGCTAGGGTGGAAACAAGAACCACTAACTTACCCTGCACTGGTTCAGAAATCTGAGAAAGATGCAAACCCTGGTCAGGTTTCAGCACGAAGAAGTTAATGAAAAAGGACCTGAACTGTTTCAAATAACTTTCCCAAACTTCTACAGTCTGTCAAGCAGAATTTACCACAGTTTGTAACATAAAAGAAACAGCCAAGTGCTTGCTCATCAAGCTCAAACTAATATTAGGAGAGAGTCAGAATACCAGAAATACAAAGGGCCTAAAATCCCTCATGTTCACAAAAGGGAAGACTTCAGAGATTACCAAAAACATTCAACAGAATAATTTCCAGAGCGTTGTTATAGTTTCTTTCATTTCCTCACAATGCCTCCCCTTTTTATTTCCAGCCCCTGCTCCCTAGAAAAACTTGGGGTGCCTATTTACATTTCTTATACCAGTTCTGTTCACAGAGTAAATTCTTAAAGAGAAATCAAATACTTAAAATATTCATTACCTTGGAAAAAGAAGAGTTCACATCTATATAATGTAAGCATCCTCTGTTAATCAACTGCTAACCCTCGTATATAAAAGAAATGGTACAAGACTCATAACCTATTTAAAAGTTGCTTTAATCAGTTTCCATTTCATTCCTCAACTATCAGTTATCGCGCACCAATGAAAGCACTAATGTTACTATGCTTTTCTGCCACACACATCAGCAGAAATCCCCAATGGTTGCTCTTCAAAGCATCTCCTTACCTCCTCTGGAACTAACATTCCTGAAGGTAATCTCTCTCTTATCTTTTATGGAAGTTTCTCCATGATTAACAGCATAATATGTTTTAGTGTTATGTATACTCAGGCTGTGGTTCTGCTTTGCTACTTATTTAGCTCTGCAAGTTTCGGTTTTGGTTTCTTTGTATATAAAAAGATTAGGCTCCAAAATTATATAATCGCCTTTTAGCACTGCTATGTGGCAAAGTGTACACTCCCCAAGTAGTAAGAACCTGTGATGTGGGAAGAGCTGAACAGACCTAGATTCAAATTCCCTGACACCTATAAATTGTATGGTATTGAGCAAATTACTTAGAGGTCTCTTTCCTTATTTGCTATCTATTACCACCAACAAACAAAAGAATATAATACTGTATAAAAGATGCCTACCATAGTATACCTTAAATTAGTGATCAGTTTCCACTTACCTACAAGTTCTTACTCTTGAAAACTGTATTTTAATACTTTCTTGATTGTTTCTAAACAAACTTACTGACTAGATAGGAACTCAGTTTTTAACAAATTAGGTGGTAATGTCATTTAAACACATCCATAACGACTTTATAAGAGTATATGCAGAATGACAATTTAGAACTGGCAGAAAATGTATCCAGTAGTGTTCAGAGCCTTAGGTCTATCTACCTCCAGAACCATACAGAACTGAAACAGAAATTCACCAAAAGTGAAGAACTTAACCTTTCTACAATGTTCATGACAAAACTGAACATTAGCTACAAGAGAGCCCCTATTGTTTTGCCAGGGGATACTAAAGCCTTTTGAACCAAATGCTTCCACTTCTTTACCCTCTTTGCAGATCAGCATTCCAATTACTGTGAAGCAAAATAAATATAAGACAATATAATTATAAGTAGAATTCACTCCAAAGAAGACTGTGAAATGTGCTTTTGTTTTCCCCACTTAAATTCCAAGACACTTTCAGTTGACAAAAGAAGGTAGACACTGAAGTATCATTCGGCATATTCACAATATGTAAATGATCACAAAGCAAAACCTTTGCAAAAATCATGACAAGCAGCCCAACAGAGTAAACCCAGTAAACAGTAGTCACAGAGGAGGGAGGGATAAGGGGGAAAAAAGGGGCATTACTATTAGCAGACATAATGTAGGGAGGGGGGGCACGGGGAGGGCTGTACAACACAGAGAAGACAAGTAGTGATTCTATAGCATCTTACTACACTGATGGACAGTGACTGTAATGGGGTATGTGGGGAGGACTTGATGATGGGGGGAGTCTAGTAAACATAATATTGCTCAAAAAAAAAAGCATTGCTAAATGTAATTATGTAGTTATAAAAGACAGCATAAAAATGTAAAAAAAAAAAAAGTAGTCACAGACTCATTAACCTGTAACATTTACAGGCTGCTTCAAATGTAACACTCCCACCGCTCTCATCTGCTTGTCAACTCTGGCACTTGGTCCTTGTGAAAGGGATTCTTCTAACTGAAAGTTACCATCATCACACATCTAAAATAAAGATTGTGCTGGAAGCAGCATTCTTCACTTCTGGTACTGGAAAGCAGTACACTTACTTAGCTCGCTTAAATTTTAAAATTCTCTTTCATTCTTAACATACAACCTCTTAAGTACACTTTTTCTACATTATCATGTCAGCATCTGGATATATATCGGTCCTTTCTCCACATGAAAATAAACTTCAGCTGGACTCTGTCTTCTCCCAGGAGCCAGTACCTAAAGGCCCTCCTCAACATGCTGCTCCAGCTTTTACCCTGTCACTTAGGTAAAAAGATTATTTCCTTAAATACAGTAAGAAAGACCACGTAGTAAGGTCTCGAGGACGCTACATTAATTATAAAGCCCAATCACTGCCCTGCAGTCAGGATTATCAAAGGTTCTCTTGACTGAGTTTTTTGAGCTCGCAGCCAGAAGGAGCAATCCGGGGCTGCGACGTTTCATGTATTCACGCGCCGGACCGACGTACCTGGAGGAAGCTGCAAATTGGCAGGCAACTGGATTGCTGTGGTGTTGGGGGCTTTCACAGCGACTATCTGAGGGGCCGGCAGCGCAGGACCGCTGCTGAGTTTAGCAGGAGCGCGGACAGCAGCCACCTTGGTCACCAGGGTCCCCACGGGGGACTGCACGGGCTGGGCCGCCGAGGACTCCACGCAGACACCGACAGGAGCCCTGGTCACGGAGCCCAAGGCGCCCGGAGTGTGCTCCGCCCGGAGGGGCAGAGTCGCAGCAGGAGCCATGCTCACGGTCCCGGCGGCGCCCACGCGGTGAGCCGCGGGAGGGGCGCCGGCCGGTTCTGAGAGGCCCGCGGGCATCCCCCGGGCAGATCAGCGGCAGCTGCGGCGCCGCCGTTCCGGGAGCAGCAAGGGGAGGATTGACAAGCGGCGACCGACTCCAGCGCAGTTCCGGCTCCGCAGCATCGCTAGGCAGAGACGTAGGGGCCGCGACCCAAAGTCAGTGGCAGGCGCCGGCTGGTGGGCGGGCCACACGCGCCCCGGACCGTCTCCCGTCCGCGGCTGCAGAGACACCTGCGCGGCCGCCCGCCGCCTCCTCCGCGGCGATCGCACGTGGTCCGGCTCGGCCCGTCGCCTCGGCCTCGGGGACCGCGGCAGAGGCGCCGGCTGCGCGGTTCCCGGAAGAGCGTCACTTCGGCCCCCACCTCCCACCAAAACTCTGCGCCGCGGTTCCCCCGCCAGAAATTCAAAACTACAAAGTCCGAGCGGCTCAAAACCCCCTACGCGCACTCAGCACAGCCCCACCGCGCCGCCCCGCCAGCCATGTTTATATAGCCACGCGGAGACCTCGCGCACGCGCACAGACCGCCGCCTCCGCCCCGGGCTTCCCCCGGAATCCGGCCTTCTGATTGGCCACGGACTGGAATTGCGCTCGTGACGTCGCTAGGGCGACTCCGAAGGGCGTTAGAATCTTCCCCAGAGTCGGGAGGAGGGAGGGGCGAGCTGCCAAAAGTCTCCAAGTGGGAGAGGCAGACGGCGCTCGGAGGCTGCGGCATCTGCGGTCCTCCGCTTGGTATTCCCAGTTGCGTGTTCCTTCGAAAGCCTGGACCGTACTTTCCACGGCTTCTACTTTTTAAGAAAAAGATGTGGAACACTGATTAGGGAGAACCGTAGCTCAGTCAAAACTCAGTCACGCTTCCTCAGTGTTCTTCTGCCGACTTTGCTCTAAAGCGCTCCTAAAAGCATTACAGTTAACATTGTGAAAAAAAATTTTAAATGACCATTTCTTTCTTTTAAATATTTAAGAACATAAACACTTGAGGAAGGAAAGTTGAAAGTTTGAGAACTCGCCTTTCTGAACTTCCATTAGACTCCAGCCTCAACTCATACTTTGTTAGGTAAATTACCTCAGTCTTCTAGAACAGGCTTGGCTGAGGAAGTATACTTACTTTTTAAGGTGACTGCAAACATTTTTCTTGTAATTGTTTACCTTACAATTTGTCTGACAGGAACTTTAATTTCTAGTTGCCCAGAATATACTTCTCTTTACCTAGCACAGAACCACTGTCCTGAATGTGGAGTTTAGTAATGATTCTCTGTTTACTGCATTTCCTTCCTTTAGAAAGTTACAATAAAACAGGATACACAAGGGGGACAAACTGAATTTTCTCTAAGTAAGAAAAGAAAAAAATGCAGGGGGACAACTACACCTTGATTTTATTTTTATCTGGTAAAATATTTGTAAAACTAAAGATGTTGAAAATATTTAGTCATTTACTCTGTTAGTCTGTTCAGGCTGCTGTAACAAAATACCACGGACTGAGTAGCATATAAACAGCGGAAATTTATTGTTCACAGTTTTGGAGACTGGAAGTCTGATATCAGGGTGCCAGCATGGTCAGGGGAGGGGTTTCTTCCAGACTTCTCACTGTGTCTTCACATGACAGAAGGGGCAGATGGGCAAAGGATGTTTGTAGAGCCTCTTCTATAAGGTACTAATCGCATTCATGAGGGTTCCACCTCATGATTTAAGCACCTCCCAAAGGCTCCACCTACTAATACTAAACACCTTTGGAAGTTAGGATTTCCACACATGAATTTTTCGGAGATGCAAACATAGCAACTTCTAAATGAGGGCTAAATCATTAATTGTCCAAATATTATGGTTATAGATTTAAATAATGAAACAAAACTATGACCAAATACTAAATTTGTATTTCCAGTATTTCATTATTTTTATACACATGAACAGGTGCAAAACCAAAGGCTAAGGGTTTAACTATCAAGTGGACAATGTATATCATTCTTATTGTCCTTTGATTTTCCAAGTGCCTACAAGTCTCCAGAAACTGAATTAAAGTTTACTATTCTGTAGTATTTAAACAGGAAGACTTGTTTATCTGTTAAGTGAAATCATCTGAAAAATCTGCCTAAGAAAATGTAACTATTTGGCTAGGATGGTATGGCCTCAGCTTTAAATGGTACCAGGAACAAATGCCTTTAAGTTCTATACCTTGACCTGCTCCAGTATTTGTTTTCACATCAGAGCATTTAAATACTTTCTGCAACAGAACATCCCCTACACCACCACTCTATTCCTTTCCTCTTAAAGGAATGCAGCTTAAACTCCCAAAGAGTTTTGACTTCATTAATGACTTCCATTTTTATGCCTTCATTAAAGGTTTAATGAAACCTAAGACATTCTTTTAAATTTTTACTGTCTGTGGTTTGTTTTTATATACAGTCTTACATTAGTTTCAAATACACAACACAGTGGTTCAGCAGTTACCGAGTATTATTAAATCTTCACCCCCACTAGCACAGCTACTATCTGTCAACATAGGAAAATGTTCCAGAATCACTGGCTATATTAAATTTTTACTATTTGAAAGTAAAGTAATTTCTTAAATTCAAAAAGACATACACACCCCTATGTTTATTGCAGCACTATTTACAATAGCCAAGATATGGGAGCAACCTGAGTGTCCATCATTAGATGAATGGACAAAGAAGATGTGGTACATATACACAATGGAATACTACACAGCCATAAGAAAGAAACAAATTCTGCACTTTGCAACAACATGGATGGAGCTAGAGGATATTATGCTCGGTGAAATAAGTCAGGCCAAGAAAGACAAGTACCAAATGATTTCCCTCATTTGTGGAGTATAACAACAAAGCAAAACTGAAGGAACAAAATAGCAACAGACTCACAGACTCCAAGAAGGGACTAGCAGTTACCAAAGAGGAGGGGTGGGGAAGGGCAGGTGGGGAGGGAGGGAGAAGGGTATTCAGGGTTATTATGATTGGCACACATGGTGTGGGGGAGATCAGGGGGAAGACAGTGTAGCACAGAGAAGGCAAAATAGTGACTGCAGCATGTTACTACCCTGATGGCCAGTGACTGCAATGGGGCTTGGGAGGGGCAAGATAACAGGGGTGAATGTAGTAACCACATTGTTTTTTCATGTGAAACCTTCATAGGAGTGTATATCAATAATACCTTAATTTTAAAAAATAAAATTTTTTAATTAAAAAAAAGAAAGTAAAGTAATGCTCCTAGAATATTGGATGCAACCAAAAGATCCTAAAGAGATATATCACACTAAAGAATACTAGTTAGCCATTAAGCTACACTGTACAGGTACATTTATGGAAAAATGATCTTTGTATATTGTTTAATGAAAAAATGAGGTTATAAAATAGTGTATGAAGTATGCTTCCATTCTTTGTAAATTAAAAAATATTTAAACCAATAAGCACATAGATACATACTCATTAGAAAATTTAGGTTATACACCAAACTGTTAACAGAGGACATCTTTGGAGACATTCTAAGTGATCATTTTCTTTTTTTTTTTTAATTTTTATTTCTCTGTATTTTCTAATTTTTTAACAATGAATTAATATTATTCATTATTATTATTCATTATTGTGTTAATAAAAATTAACACAAGTTTTTCTTACGCTTTGTATTCTTAGTGACAATTGTGAAGCTACATACTTCCTAGTCTCCTCATATCACTCATGAAACCTCCCTGAATTTCACGAAGCTCTACAAATACAGTCAGTAGCCTGCTTAAGCTGTGCCAAGCAGAAGCTTATTACAAACACTGCCTTAATCTAGGAAGATGGGCTGTTTTCTACAGGTGTGAGTACTCGCTTTCTTTCAATCATATTAATTGTAGAAAAAGTAATAACTTTTAAACCATCTCAGAAATAATATTTTCTTTTCTACAAGATTTTACGACCACAGAACTTTGTACTTGCACTGTCTAGTTTAGCACTGTGGGTAAAATTGTAACATTTTCAGAATATCTCGCCTGGCGTTGGTGTATTTGCATATCCTCAAGGGTGGAGAGAAGTTTATCTCCATGTCAGTGGATAATTGCCTGGGCTACTGAGGGTGGGTCTAAACCTGAGAGGTTAAGTGGAGGGGCTTGCTTGCTTCCTCCAGATCAGGGGAGAGAGATAGTGCTGGACTGCAGTTTGTAAGCAATAAAAGGGTTGTAAACTTATTTCTCCCTTTGACTGATTTCAGTTTTTAGAGGTATTTTTGCCCCGGGATTTCCTCTCCCCAGAGTTACAAGCACTCATTTTCCTGAATTATGTACTCTTAGAAGCCTCTCCTCTCTGCCTCTATTTAGTCCTTCATTCAGGCAACAAATGTTTATTGAATGCTTCCTATGTGCTTGGCAGAGGAGAATATGTGTGTAGTGCAGGACCTCAGCTCCTGGCAGGATTACGCAAAGCCAAAAAATTACAATGGAGCATTAGACAGAAGGTTCATACCAGCTTTATTCTCAGTGACTAGTCGAGCCCTGAGATCACATCTGCACAAAAGTACCTGGTGGGTTAGGCGGAGCCAAGATGGCAGAGTGAGTAGAGCAGTGGAAATCTCCTCCCAAAACCACATATATTTTTGAAAATACAACAAATACAACTCTCCCTAAAAGAGAATCCAGAAGACACAGGACAACAGCCAGACTACATCCACACTGGTGAGAACCCAGTACCTGGTGAAAGGGGTAAGATACAAGCCGCAGACCAGCGGGACCCGAGGCCCCTCACCCCAGCTCCCAGTGGGAGGAGAGGAGTTGGAACAGGGCGGGAGAGGGAGCCCAGAACTGATAAACACCCAGCCCTAGCCATCCGCACCAGAGAGCAGACACACAGTGCGTGCATGGGGTGCTGGAAACTAGGGAAACAGGACAGTAAGACCTGTGAACGGGTCTCTGCAGCTGGTGCCCCAGGGACAAAGAAAAGTGAGTGCATTTTGAAAGTCTTAAAGGGACAGGTACTGCAGAGCTGGACAGAAGCGTCCGGGGACACTTAGCCCAGCGGCTGGGAATCCCGGGGAACTCTGGGCACCCTAACCCCCTGTGCAGCAGGGCACCTTGGAAGCCCCTCACAGAGATAAACAGCCTCCAGGCTGTTTCCCCTCCAACGTGGCTCTGCCATATCAGAGCAGCAGCCCAAGGCAGGCCACACCCACAGCAACTGTGGTGCTAAACTCCATAGCAGCCGGGCAGGAACCACAGACCCTCTCTGCATGCAGCTGCCCCGCATAAGCCACTAGAGGTCGCTCTTCTCCCAGGAGAGGAAGACCACAAACCATCAAGAAGATACATTCTCCCAGCCGTCACTTGCCCCAGCTCCGCAAACTATCTCTATCACCATGAAAAGGGAGAATCTAAGACAGACTAAAATCACAGAGACAACACCTGAGAAAGAGATAGACCTAACCAGTCTAACTGAAAAAGAATTCAAAATAAAAATCATAAACATGCTGATGGAGATGCAGAGAAATATACAAGAGCTAAGGGTTGTGTCCAGAGGGAGATTACAGAAG